GGCCGCGGCCGGGACGGGGCCGCCGCCGTCGCCGCTCGCACTGCCGCCGCTCCGGGCCAGCAACGCCTCGCACACGGTGAGCCCGGCCGCGGCGGGCAAGCAGCCTGCAAGCACCGCGCACCGCGGTGGGGTGAATCCCGCTCCGCTGCAGGCGCGGGGTTTGCCCCCGGGATAAGCCCGGTTGGCCTGAACGCGAGCTTGCCTTCCCGTTCTGGGCTGTCTCACGTTATCCCCCGCTCCCGGCTAATCCAGCGGGAATGAAACTTCCCGAGTTATGGCACTATATATGGATGAGAGAGGGTATCTCTGCCCTGAAGGCATGACAGGAGAGACGGGTCTATACGCTGTCAGGCGCGGGGTTTGCCCCCGGGATAAGCCCGGTTGGCCTGAACGCGAGCTTGCCTTCCCGTTCTGGGCTGTCTCACGTTATCCCCCGCTCCCGGCTAATCCAGCGGGAATGAAACTTCCCGAGTTATGGCACTATATATGGATGAGAGAGGGTATCTCTGCCCTGAAGGCATGACAGGAGAGACGGGTCTATACGCTGTCGTGTTAATGCTAAATATCTGAAATTTTTACTGCATGCATTTCCTTTTGAATTATGAAAGATTTGATACTCGCCCTGAATGGCATGGATGGCATGCTTTTCTTGGAATTAACAAGTTCTTCGTGGATGCTTGCATACTATCTTGGTAAACATATGGCAGAGCTTTAAATGGTAATGTGATTATGGGCTAGTAGAAGGTGAAACTATGTATTTAGATATTAGTGTTTCCAGTGGCTTTCTGTGTAGCTTCAGGGGTAGAAGCATCTTACTGGAATCCATTTATAGGAAGAATTGGCTTCTATTTAAAAATCCGAGTATATGTACAGTGTTTTCAAAAAATAATGATGAATATTCTGCAAATTCAAGCTGCGCCTGCATGCTCAGTGTCGGTGTCACTGCATATTTACGTAGCTATGGTATAGATCTGTGTCAGTCATTAATACCAAAGGCCAAAGCTGTCACATTATCATATCAGCTAAGGGTTGGTTGATTTTTAGAACTGAGAAGGCAGTTTAATTTTTCTTCAAACACAGAAAACAGGCATAGTACGAACAGCTTCATCATGAAGCCGTCTGCACAGGCAGATGAGCCCACCGCTAACAGAACCCAGACTTGATTTTGGCTTTGTGAAAGTGGGCCAGTTGTATACCTGGAACTGTTTAATGATTTTGAAAGTACAGACCCTTGATATTACTATACGTATATGTGTGTGCATATATATTTATATAAGATATGTGAATATAAAAGCACATATATAGAGGAAGTATTTATGAAAGCATGTAAAGGAGATCAGGCATTATGTTGCTGTGTTTCCGGTATTTTATATTTTTATGAGTGCATTTATTCATGCATATTGTGTAAGCATATGTGTGTGTGTATACACACATATATAAAGTGATAAAAGTGTTTCTGGAAGCACACAAGGGTGATCAAGCATTATATTGCTCTGTTGCAAGTCCCTCTAGATGTGGATTGCTGTAAACTCTGCCTTTCCTTTGTCATGCAGGTTCTGTTATACAGTATTTATTTAGCCTTAAGTACTATTGTAGAAATACCTCAGATTGCGTCTCTGAATTTTGTAGGTTAGTATCTCATGCTTGGCTAACATAACTTTTTTGAGGTAAGGATCAGATGTGACATCAGAATGATGGATTTTAACCTAAAAAAAGATTGGTTATGTCTGTTATGTGAACTTCAGGCCTAGTGACCTCAGCTGACACTGACTGATTGAAAGCGCTAATTTTACATCCCACTACTTCCTTTGATTTGGACTGGTTTAAAATGGAATATTTAGTTTTCTTAAACCATTTTCCTTCTCTGCGTTCATTTGCTTAATTGTTTTCATCTCTGTTGTGTCTATGTGGCCTCTATAATACCTAATAATGTAAACAGTTTTCCTCTTTTGTCTTTCAAACTCGCAGAAGGTATAGTTTGCAGAATCAGTAGAACTTTCTTGTGGTGAGCTGTGCATGGGTGCATTGTGAAGAAATACGTGAATTGTGAAGAAAGAGTGAAATTGAAGAGTTTTGTATTTAAGCTAAGGAGTTTTTTTCTTCTAATTCTGATGAGAAGAAACCCACTGTTCTTCTCTTGCAGAGTGAATTATGTTGTTTAGCCTCAGCTCCAGTGAAATTGTTGTCTGCTGCTTTCCAGTGAAGTGTCATTGTTCAGTTTGGTGTAGCAGCATGGGGAGAACAGGAGAGATGCTGTCTTGCACAGGCTTCCTACAACAGGGCAGAGGTTTTGGCTGCAGGCTCTGCAATCACAGCAACCTTTGTTGCTAAGCAGGCTGTTGTGTATTGTACCAGGGGAAGGTTTTGTTTATTTTTAAAAATCTGTGGCTTTGTCCAGGCTTTTTTTTATTTATTTTATTTTAATTAATTAATTAATTATTTTTTGTCCATTTCTATCCCTGACTTTATTCTTTGGGTTGCTTGTAATGGAAAACATGAGCTGCTTTCCAAACCCTTGTCCTCCTTGCTTTCCTCTTCAAAATTACTGCTCTTTCTTTTGAAGTCTTAAGTTTTTCCTTGACAATTGGAACCTTTTCCTGCCCACTCTCCCCTGTTCCATCCTGGTGTTCTTGCCTGACATGTTGCTGCAGAGATTATCTTGCTCGCCTGCTGCTCGGCTCGTGTAAATCCCCACCCATCTGCGAGTCCCTCTCCCAGACGCTTTCTTGTCTCTGTTTTCTGCCCACCTTCATATCCACTCTCTCTTACTTGGCACCTATCCCTGCACTCTGCATTCTTCCTGTTTCTTCTGCAATAAAACAGTCTCAATCTTTCTCTCCTCCTGCCTACGACTGTAACAACATCCCATTTACAGTGCATGATTCAGTGCTCCGCTACAAGCTTTTTTAGAGCTTAAAAATGTCTCTACACAGCTCTGTTTCCTCTTGCCACTAGTTATGAGTGTCTACCCATGTGTTTTTGCATCAATTGTTCACTAATCTTAAAATGAAATAATTAGAAATAGCCTCCATTGCAATAGAACAGACATTCCTGGACTGTGTCACCTGAAGATCCTAGTGGCTTGTGTGGTGTGTGCATCTGCTTTAGAGCAGCTAAACAAAGAAAGTATCTTCCTCCTATCCGGTGCTTTCATGTAACAATTGGTGCCATAAAAATGCTATGACTTGGGTGGAAATAGCTGTACTTACAGTTGTGACCTGGACTTAGGTTTCTTTGCGTGTTTCCTTTTTTATTACCTAAAAATGTTGTGTTGGGGGAATATGAAGCTAGTTAACATTTTCAAAGGCTCCTGGAATGTGGAACTCCAGCAGTTGGAGTGACAGTGCTATGGGAGCTGTGCTGTATTTGGACACATCTCTCATATATGTGCACATCAGCTTCCCCAAAAGGCTGGATTTTGTGGTGTGTCCCTGGAGTACTCAAACTCACTGCACATGCGCAGCATAGTTCTGACAGGAGCAGAAATATTTGAGAAACTGCATTACTACTGGGATGTGGTTCCAGTTCTGGAAATATTTGTAACGTAAAGTCAAAGATTACTTTTTCAAAACTCAACTTATGTGCCCCAGGTATACCAGCAGCAGAAAATCCAAATGGGGTGTTCTGACTGCAGCTCTTGTTGTGCACAAGCTCTGTAGAGCAAGGTTAGTCTTTTTAGATGTGTGAAACCCATACTACTAGGGAAACCATTATGATAATTCTGCATTATTTTTTATCGTGCTAATTAGCAGCTATTTTTAGTGCTGAACACAAAAATGCTGCTGAGTTCATTTATTAGGGTAAAATAAAAGCCTTTCGTACATGTGTTCAGGCTGTGGTGAGCAACATAAGCAATGAAGCAAGCTGCACCTGACACTTTGTGTGAGACACAGCAGGGCTGAAATGGGTGTACTCAGAAATATTCCAAGAAAAAGGGTTTATTTTTTTTTTTTTTTTTTTTTTTGTAATTAGCATTTTGTAAGGTTGTGAATTTTACATTACGAATCATTTTTTAGCAGGATGGACTCAATTGCATGCTACTGCTCTGTTGCTCCAATTCTGCAGTGTAGATATAGTAAGTTACTGCTGTGCATCTGTCCCCTTTTCTGAAAAAAAGCTATTTGTGCTATTTTTTTCCCTAGTGTCTCTAATTTAAGATATAGGTGAATGTTTTTATCATAACCATCTGCTTATATAAACTGAGCAAACAAAAATTCAACAAAATTATAGCAGCCATTTTGAAGTTATGAAAGACTACAGAGAAAAAATGCTGTAACATTTGCTGTTTTATAATTGATGTTGCCAGATGATTCAAATAGATGAGTTCTTTGAGTTTAAGCTTATCTGTTACTTCAGTATGCTTTAATGAGACACGTGTGCTTCAGTAAGTTTTTGAAGATGTGTGCTATAAAGATATGTAAATCTTGGAAGGTGTAGATGAGCCTGAGCATGGGCAGTAAAATACAATGGTAAGCTGCATAAGTGCATGCATATTTTTAACTGCGTAGATCTTTAGTTCTGGAGTTTGCAGGCCTTTCTGTAGAAGCAGAAGGTTTATAAACCTCTCTGGGGCTTATGGTTTCACACGAAAACTGATAGAGCTTGTGCGGACTATGAGTAGTTTAGTACTAGAGTAGGAAGACTACGGGTCTGTGTAGCCTCCCAGGCCCATGAGCTGCGGTTTAGGGAACCTGCAAGCGCCTCTGGTGAAATTTGTGGAGCTGTGATCAGTGCAAGCCTAGACGTGATGCCCACTCAGACCCCCAGGGCACAGAAGTGGAGAGTGCAGTGATGAGCTGGTGAGAGCTCAACCCTCTGCTCATGCCGACTGGAAACAGAAGAGTTGTGCAGGCAGGACCATGAGATGGGGCAGCTTCATTCTGCAGATTGACTTTCAGGTCATGATGTGTCTGTTGCATCTGAAACCCTGCTGGGGTTTTGAAGGGAAGAGTGAGCTCCATTGCCCTGCGCTGCTCTTGGGATAGCGGCTGGGCTCATTCCGTGTCTTTTCCCACAAAGAAGTCTAGTGCGACCGTCTGCATCTGCATTTGCTTTCTCAAGCAGCAGCTGAGTGGAACTGCCCAAACCAGCCGCTGTGGGTTTGAGTGAAGCTTGGATAATGCTGGCGACTTCGTTGTGCTGCTTGGGAAAAAATTAATAAAATAAAGCACCCCGAGCAGCTGGCAAATCCGCAAGGCTGCCTGAAGGTGCAGAAAGCAGAGCTGTGTTGTTCAAGTTTTGCAAATGTCTTTGCAAACGTGTTCTTAGGAGAAATAAATCTTTAGTCCCATCTAAGGGTGGATAAATGTTTTCTTTTTTTTCCCAAGTCCCAATACAAGGCAAATAACTGAGATTTGAACAAGCGACCGCATCTATTGAAACATTTGCTGCTTAGAAAGTGTAGAATATAGTTAACTCTGAAAACGGATGACTCAGCTGAAAAAATAAAATTAATTCAAGTTGTAAATAAGCACTTGTATTAAGAAATTATAAGAGATGTATTTTTCCTTGTGCTCTTGCTTCCTCACCCCCTGTATGCTAGTATTGTCTGCTCCCAGTTTCTGCAGGTACCTTCTGCTTTGTTGTTGAACGAACACTGCAAAAGAAACCTTTGTTCCTGGAAATTATTGGCTTGAGTACTTGCAGGCTTTGCAGTTATGTGTTTCTTACTTCTGCTTCCTTGTGTGTTTCTTACTTGCACAGTTTTGCACTTCGGCATGCGTTGAGCATCCCAGCACATTGTGATAACTAGATCATTCCTTTCGAGCTAAATCCTGTGGCAGCTCTTGGGACAGAGGTCTCTTTTGCTCGGTAAAGGATAGCTGCTAGCAAGGCAACACAGCAATGCACTTCAGTTGACCTGAAGGAATTTCCTGCAGACATGATAGGCTCCTTAAATCCCCTTGATGATATAATTCCCTTTGCTTTTGAGACATCAGACCAGGAAGGCAATGAGTGTCAATATCCTATATATCTCCACTGCGCTTAAATGTTACAAGCTCCCTTTGCTATGAATTGACAGTGTGCGGAAGCCGTTTTTATGAGATTGATCAAATTTGATAGCATGAGCCCAAATTGCTCTGCAAATAAACATGCACTGAAACCACAGTGGTGAAATAACAGACCAGTTATTCAACCTGAGTCCAAATGGAATCAGAAGAGCAGTGAACTCGGCAGAGCTCTGGTTCTTATGTTGTGTGAGCTGTAAATTTCAAAATACCATCCAGAGCTGAAGTTGGTGTCCAGCTGGCGGCTCCTAGGAACAAGTTACTGAGTTTAGAAAAACATGCTTTTGCTGTGTCAGAGTGGTACCTTAATAGAAGCACAAAGTATGCTAGACTCTGCCCTGCACATGTTAGTATGTTCTCATGAGGAAGCATTTCTGCAGTTGCAGCTCATATCAGAGCACATGACTGACATTTTCTTGTTTAATTTCAGCATTTTTTAGTGAACAATGTGTATGTTTTCTTTAGATGCATAGAGAAAATAAGGTTCAGATTAAAAGTAATTTTGCTTCTGGCTTGATCATCTGCTGACAGTATCAGTCAACTTTTGCTTAGTAATTTGGCATAGATATTAAGGCTGGTGAATCAACTGAAAAGACAGCAGGGGAAGTCTCCCCATGTTTGTGTTAAGACCAGGCTGTAAAGACAGTAATTATCCTCTACGTTAGCGCAAGTGAGGAATTCTGAAGATAACCATTTTAGTTGCAAGTATATGTTGGTACATTCCTTGTTTCTCCTTAAAAATAATGTTTTGTGCAATAGCTGTTTTTACACCCCAGTGCTTCCAGTGTTTCATTGCTTGAAAATGTTGAATGCTTCTGTTGATTCCCTTGTGAAGACTGCCAAGAGCAAATAAAAATTCTAGAATAAACTAATACTTTTCCCTCCCTTTAAACGAAGCTATTTGGATGGTCTTCAAGGCAGAGATTTTATTTCCCTCCAAATCTGAATCAGGCCCTAAGGCTAATATTGGTAGAAGTTGTTGTAAAACTGTTTTGGCAAGTGGCTAATGAACTTGTGTTTCACTGATTTCAATGCTTTGCTGTGTAGTGTCTATCTTGATTACAAGCAGCAAATGGCATCTCTTAAACTTAAGAAGTGTCCAGGCTCTTCCTGTGCACATCACAGCACTTTTCCCTTGACTTAAAATCATATACGGCATTTCAATGTATAGTAAATTTTGGAATTAGTTAAATGCTTGATTTCTAGGAACAGGTGACTAGGAGAGCTTTAGTTGTAAAAATTCTTCAGGAATTATATATAGGTCTCAAGCCCAAGTACTGCTGCTACTTTGTTCTATGAGTTTTGCTTTAGTATCCCTCCAGCAGATTTATTCACTTAATGGACTGGTGCCTCACAGGTTCTTTGGAGAAACTGTTAGCTTATGATAGTAGCACATCTGTGATTGCTTTGTTGCAAACATTTTACTTAGAGAGTCATGAAAGTGGCATTAGAGAGGCAAGTATGCTAAAAGCATAGTGACAACTAGCCGTATCCTAGCATATTAGCTGCATTTTTTTAATTAGACCTGTATTTTTTAAAATAAGCTGTAACAACTGGCTTCTAGGAAAGTGTTTAGTTTTTGAGGTGGTTTAGACAGAGTAGTGGGTTGGCAAAATGCATGATGAAATGAAGAGTTCCTGCCTTCTTATAACTGGAAATGTGTTTGTTCTCCATTGTAGATCGGAGGCAATAAGCACATGATGAACGAGCACCTCCATGTGAGTAGCCACGGACAAATCCAGATTCAGCAGCTGTTTGAAGATAATAGTAACAAGAGGACGGTTCTGACGACGCAGCCCAATGGACTTACAACGCTTGGCAAGTCGGGATTGCCAGTGGTTCAGGAGAGACAGTCGGAGAGTTCTCACAGACGACAAGGAAGCTCCAGCTCTTTAAAAGCTGCGGATGGGACGGGGAAAGTGAAAGCCTCCGTTATGACACCAGAGCAGGCAATGAAGCAATACATGCAAAAATTAACAGCTTTCGAGCATCATGAGATTTTCGGCTACCCTGAAGTGTACTTTTTGGGTCCAAATGCGAAGAAGCGGCAAGGTGTGGTTGGTGGTCCAAACAATTGCGGGTATGATGATGACCAGGGGTCTTACGTGCAGGTACCCCACGATCATATTGCATACAGGTATGAAGTCCTGAAAGTTATAGGAAAAGGAAGCTTTGGGCAGGTGGTGAAGGCCTACGATCACAAGATGCATCAGCATGTGGCACTAAAAATGGTGAGAAATGAAAAGCGTTTCCACCGCCAAGCTGCGGAAGAAATTAGGATCCTGGAGCATCTCCGGAAGCAAGATAAGGATAACAACATGAATGTTATTCACATGTTGGAAAACTTCACATTCCGCAACCATATCTGCATGACATTTGAATTGCTGAGCATGAACCTGTATGAGTTAATAAAGAAAAACAAGTTTCAGGGCTTCAGCCTGCCTTTAGTCCGCAAGTTTGCCCACTCAATTTTGCAGTGCTTGGATGCTTTGCACAAAAATAGGATCATTCACTGTGACCTTAAACCGGAGAACATTCTGTTGAAGCAACAGGGTAGAAGTGGTATTAAAGTGATTGATTTTGGCTCGAGTTGTTACGAGCACCAGCGTGTCTACACCTACATTCAGTCACGTTTTTACCGCGCGCCTGAAGTCATCCTCGGTGCTCGCTATGGGATGCCCATAGATATGTGGAGCTTGGGGTGCATTCTAGCAGAGCTTCTCACCGGGTATCCGCTTCTACCCGGGGAAGATGAAGGAGACCAGCTGGCGTGCATGATTGAGCTCTTGGGCATGCCTTCCCCCAAACTCTTAGATTCGTCCAAGCGAGCCAAAAACTTTGTGAGCTCTAAGGGTTATCCCCGCTACTGCACCATCACCACCCTGTCCGACGGCTCCGTGATCCTCAACGGCGGGCGCTCTCGAAGGGGAAAGTTGCGTGGCCCGCCGGAGAGCCGCGAGTGGGGCAACGCATTGAAGGGATGTGATGATCCCCTGTTCCTAGACTTCTTAAAACAGTGTTTAGAATGGGATCCTGCTATCCGCATGACGCCCAGCCAGGCGTTGCGGCATCCCTGGCTAAGGAGACGCTTGCCAAAGCCTCCGACCGGGGAGAAGGCCTCGGCAAAGAGAATTGCAGAGAGCACTGGTGCTATAACGTCGATTTCCAAGTTACCTCCGACTTCAAGCTCAGCTTCAAAACTGAGGACTAATTTGGCACAGATGACAGATGCCAACGGAAATATACAGCAGAGAACAGTGTTGCCAAAACTCGTTAGCTGAGTTTGAAAAACCCAATGCTGTTAATACGAGAGATACAATGTGGCTGAGCCTTATTTGTATGAAAAAGTAGCTCAGATTTGTGTTTTTATTTGCTCAATAACTTTATTCATTTGTATCTTTCAGCACTCATTTTAAACGTAAGAAATGTTGATTTTGTTTTTATAAAAATATGGGGACAATGCTTTAAGTTTTTATACTTATTTTTTAAGATGTTTGTCTTCTACAGTACAACTAGCCTTACTGTAACACAGTGTGACACAGTAATAAACATCAGTGGCAGGCCACTGGTTACAACGTGACTGTCATGCATTACAACGTGGTGTCAAAGGTATAAACCTTTTTCTTCCATGGTTCATCGTAGGTTTCGCTTGGGGTGAGTGTGTTTGACTGTACCTTCTGGAGCTTACAGGTACAGGCCTGGATCCTGCAGACACTCATGCCTGGGCCTGGCTTGACTCCAGGGAGAATACTCAAGTACAGTTAAGCACCTGTAAAACTGTTACTTTGAAATAGAGCCATAGCATGTAATACTGTCATTTTCTGCCTGGGAGCCCAGAGAAAGTGGTGCCACTTAGTAATGACACAGTCACCTTCTATGAACGCTTTCTCTGTTTGGAAGAAAAGAAGCTCCAGCCCCAAACATGTTCTCTTGGCTTTAGTGCGTGTGGTAGAGTGAGAAGAACAGGCAGCCTGGGAAGGAGCGGAGGTGGAGGTGGAAGTTTGTGTGTTCCTCTAGGTCTGAAAGTGACAGATGAGTTGGTTTTTAGAGCTGAGGTCATGTAAAGCGAAATGTTCTGGACTTCATTTCAGGTTTATAACAGTAAGCATTCACATTACTCCTCTCCATTTCCTCGTTTCTTTCTTGCTTTTCTTCTCCTCTCCTGGTTTCTTTTCTCTCCTAACGTGCAGCTCTAAGTCACCTAGGCAGAAATGCTTGTTCTGTCACTTTAATACTGTAATTTCCAGACTGTTAATGCTACATGGATTTCACAAACCGTTTATTTCTCCTGACGTTGTCTGTCTGATGGATTGTGACTTCTCTGGTACGTTTGCACTTCAGATCAAATCTGCATGTGGAGCAAACACTGGGTTGCTGTATTGCTCTTTGTGGAAAAGTCCTTGTTAGAGAGCGTGACTGAAGTGGAAAAGCTCCTCTATGGAAAGCTTTGCAGTTAGTAGACCCTATCACAGCTATTTACTGAGAGAGATATATCAAAGGAAAACTAAATGATTGGAATTTGATTTAATCTTCAGCATTGGTAGCAGAAAATGACTCTGAAGGAACAGTTTGAGATAACATGTAGATTTATTTGTGTGTTTGTGTGTGCATATGTTTGGTTTTTCATTTGTAACTAGACTTTAACTAGACTCATGGAAGAAAGATGGTCTTCACTACGGAATAATATCTAGACCTGCATGGGAAGTGTATGCCTGCATGGTAGCGTATTTTCAACAGGAACAGCTGGAAATCTGAGATCAGTATTTCAGCACATGCAATGAGTGTGGTCTCCATTGGATGTATAAAACATGCAAAAAGGGAATTTTCAACAAAGTGGAACATAATCTGGGAAGATTTATTTGTGGGTGTGAGAACAAGAGACTAGATTGCATAAAACGTCAATAACTCTAGTATAAACAACATTTATATGCACATATTTTATTAAATTGTACAAATTAAAAAAATACTTAAAGCATGGTCCCCTGAGAGGCCAAGAAAGTTTCCGGTTAAGTTCTCTTTCATATTCATTAATACTTACCACTTACAGCTTAATTTTGTTTGTTTGTTTGTGTTTGGTTTGTTTTTAATTTAATGTAAGACTGAGGGAGAGATATAAATAAGAAATGACAGAATTCTCAGGAAACATATCACTCAACTTCTTGCCAAAAAGTCAACATGTGAAGAAGCTCCAAAAATAATTTCTGAGTAGAGGATGGTATTTGTTGATTGATAACTGTAAACAGTAGAGCATCAATCAGCCATTTTTCTTATTTTTTTAAATATCATTTCCTGCCTCTAGTCAAATTAAATTATTTAGATGTTAAATGTTCACAATTTTGTACAATGTATGTAAGTGCAATATGTAAACATGTATGGAATCATGTTGAAAATGAAATATGGTGATACAACTAAGAAAAGTGGCTTTTGGAATATAAATGTCCATTAACTGATGGTCCGCAAATTCTGAGTCTGGAAAAGAAATGTGTTAACTTACGTATAAAACGAACTGATGAGACTCTCATGACTGCGAGAACACAATACTGTGTATTTTTTTACAGTAGTTGAGATTCTTCAGTCTCTCCATCAACTACTTGGCTTTATCACTTACTTTCTCCTTAGCTATTTCTACAAAAGTTAAGAAAGAGGGATGATAATATTAGGGGTGGCAAAAGAATTTCCCCCCCTTAATATATTTCAAAGAAAACACTGATCCTTATTCCTGCCTTTCATGGAAATATAAAGTGAAAGCATTCACAATGTTCATGGGTCATTAATGGGCTAAAACCACTAAATTTTCTTTTTCGTGTAACCAGTTCTTAATGCCAATAATGCATTTATGACTGACATTCTTCATAAATGCTACCGGAAACTTTAAGGCCAAAATATAGTGTGCAGAGCTATTTTTTTAACCCAGATACCGTGGAACTTCCTCTATACTCAAAGAAGCAGCTACATTAAGGTTTTTAAGTGAGAGCTGCTTTTTATCGTAGCTTATTTATACCTGTAAAAAAAAAGGAGGGAGGGGGGGAAGGACGTTGCCTCTTGCTTTGATGTGATTTTATTATAAGGGCTCTGATAATTAGGCTGATAGAAGTTGGCTTGGAAACAGTGCTTAGTCTCACATGTTACCATTGTCTGGGGATGTCTGAGCTATTTTGGGCTTTAGTAATAGCACAGTGTTGTCTTGTCTTTGGTTGCAGTCTCCCTTGGCTCAGTTTCTTCACCGCTGGAGTGTTCATTACCACTGGAGTGTATTGGAACAACAGAGTGATGCAAGATGTGTAGATTAACAATAGAGGATGAGTTGTGCCCTTGGTGTTAACAATGTGCCTTTTGTTACAAATGCTGTGTGGTAGGGCATGCATCTTGGCCTCTTTAACCCTTTGAGTACTGGATAGGAAGGATCTATTTTTCAATGCTATGCCTGTCTTAAAACATCCTGTCAATTCTTGAGGCCTTAATAGAAACAAAAAGGCAATCACACTTCCACAGGGGTGGAGAGGACACACTGTTCTTGCAGTAAGTCTCACTACGGGGTTAAAGATGGCCCTTCCTCATTGGTTGTACTTTAACATCAAATTGATTCTTTTTTTTTTTTAATAAATTTTTGTTATGGTGACACTAGACAGAAATCAACTGTATTTGTAAAAATTTACCTCAAACTCTTTAGTTTTATAGTGTGATTGAATCCCAGGGCATTTGGTATGAACCAAAGTGCATTCCTTTTATATGTGCCTGGCTCTTATAAAGGTGGCCAGGGATTTTTACAATTTGGGTGCAAGGCACTTAAGCCACTTTTAACTCGGTGGGTGGTTTGGAGTTATAAATGACTTTGTGGGAATGTTGAAAACACTTTAGACATAAGTAGCATTGGGCAATATTAGAATCTTTAGGAAAGAGAGTGCATTATTTAATGCCCTCCATTTTTTAGCATTTTTTCCATCAATGATATTTGTGATAAGTACAAAAAGAACTCTTTTTTTTTTCTCCCACTCTTTTTCCAGTCAACAAAGATTATAATATTGTCCAAGTTAATGCTATGGTAGCATTTAAATAAAACATTTGTGAATTATTGTTTCTAGGGGCTTGTACATCTCTGCTACAAATTGTAATTACTCAGTTCAACTGCTACAATTACGTCTAAGCAGTAGCTTGGGTTTTTATTGGGCAACGACTTAGACACGTGACTGTAAAATGCTGCAACTGTGTGTACTGAAAACATGTGAAAAACGATTGAATGTGGACTGTGTATATATGTATGTATAATTTTCTGTGAGATGCTGCTGTTGCCACTTAACATTAAAGATGTTGTAGTGGGTTTTAATCCTAGTGGCCAGTTTTATGATACTGTATGTATTGTACAGCTGATGACAGGAGTTAAGACTGTTTTAGTGAATATTTGTTACATTTTATTGTTGTGGCCAGAGATCATTTCAGAATAAAATTTTATGTCCTACTTTACTTCTCTCTGCTGTAGTTTGAGTTGTTTTTTCCCGATTGTAGAGGGTCCTTGGAGTGCTGGCATTCCTTAAACCTGGAAAGGCCTCATCTTGGCCTGGGGAAGTCAATGCCAGCATTGCCTTTGTGCCCTAAATGCTGACTGATATCAGCATGTAGTATTTACCCGTTGCTGAGGATGACATCTCTGTCTCTTGACAGCCTGGGATACTGCCCAAAGGCTGCTTTTGCCCTGAAGCTTCTAAAGTTCAACTCAGGACTTCATCTAATATTTATATTGTGTGTCTTTCCTTGACCCGTGTGCCAGAGAAAACCAAAGAAAAGCAGCACTTTGGCTTGCATAGGTGTTTTTAAACTTTTAAACATTATAACAGTTGGTCTTGTTTTGCAAAAAGTATTTGACAATGATTCTGTGTGTGTGTGTGTATGTGTATATAAAACTGCCTGTAAAAAGTCCAGATCTCTGCACTGATTTTTGGCTTTTCAAGTACTTGTCAGATGCTGTGAAGTCCCAGGATAATGGGAAGGTACTGCAGAAAGCTAGTAGGCAAAGTTGGACTAGATGTTATCAACACATAAATCTAGAGTATTTTCACTGTTTAGTGCAAAACTATCTCGCAAGTAATGGAGCACGTTGTGTTCTTGGTAGCATCGCTGTAAGCCCAGAGCAGCTTTGCTGGAAGGCCTCCTGGGTTGGGCGAGTACAGGCTGAGAGCAGGGGGCTTGAACATGGCCTCGGTGTCCCCTACCCAGAATAGCTGGGGAGGTTCCACAGCCTGTCTTGAAAAGCAGCAAGATTCAATACAGAGAAACACCGTGTAGAGTCTCAAAGGGGCAGCAAGCCAAAAATGTATAGATTAAAATCTGTTTGTTAATTACCACTTTCTTTTGAGCCCCATTTTTTGTTTTTTTAAAAAAGGGTTTTCTTCTGATCTCTCTGTCACCCTCTCCCTCATCCAACCACATACTGCTCTTAACCAGCTCCTGTGCATGTCTGTCTCATCTGTTTCTTCATTTCACGTGTTAGCAAGTAGCATTTGGACAGCACTAGGGAAGTGCTATAAGTGAGAGGGGCAAAATTAAACTTGCCAGCGGGTGTAAAGGTCTGTGGCCTTTTAGCTGCTGGGTTAGGGCTTAAGACAGGGCTCATTTCACCTGATTTCAGTCACCTGGGAGTTGGGGTTTTGCTGTAGGGTAGCTGGTGAGGCGGTGGGGATGCTGTCTGTTGGCAGGACTAACCCTATGAAGATGCCATGTGTGAAGCGAGGTGCTCAGCATCCCTCCTTGAGCCATTTTCTGTAGTCACTGTCATCACCACCACGCTTCCTTTCGCAAGGTGATCGTGGGTTGTTCTGGCTATCAGCTGTGCCTCTCCGTTTCCTTTTTTCCTGCAGAAAAGCAAAGACTGGGAAGTGCAATATTTATG